CAAACCGGGGGACGCCTGCGGATCAGCCTGGCCAGGGCCGGGCTCCAGCGCCAGCCAGCTCCTGCGTCTAGTCATGCTGTCACGCACAAACAGAATGGAGGTTAACCTTTGAAATGTATGTTTTCTGAGGTCTAGCTCAGTTTTGAAAGAGCGACTGAGCTAGTGGCTAACTCCAGCAGTTATTTCGACTTTGCAGGCGTTTCTCGTTTCATTGGCTGCTTTCTAGTAACTGCACAAGACCGAGCCGTGGAGCCGGGTGAACGACAAGGCTTTTCCCTTCACTCCCCGGACTAGTCAGTGGTTTAGTTCACACGTTTTAGGACCAGAAAGTGCCATACAGTCTGATGTGTTGAATAGCACCAGTCACAGTGCCTCAGGTTTCTGCAGCAGGGCTTCGAAGAAGAAAAGGCACAGCTATGGCCAGTTTTCTCCCCCAGACCATTACCTTTTTAGGTCTCAGCACAGGGACGTTAAGGAGAATAAGGGAGGAGAGCAGTCACTTTTTTGACTTATCTGAATCTAACCTGGGAGGTGAGCATGTTGCAAGTGTTACGAAATTTTTCATACTTCTTTCTCTGCACTTTGGACTTGGATAACTTAAGAATGACTTTGTTTTAGAAGCAGCATGATCATATCTTAAGACCACCGTGCTGCGCTCTGCAATGCATTTAAAAAATGCTGCACAGTCAGGGCTGCTCGGGGTCATATAATCACCAAAATGCTCCCTGAGAGGTATTTAGTCTATAATCTGCTGATGGCAGTCGAACAGTTGTCTCACAGGGCTATGTTATCTCTGTATCTGTAACTTAAACAGTACAGGTAGGCTGATCCCTGTCAACTTTCTAATTTTTCAGCGCTAACTTACATACAACAGAAAAGCACTTTGTTTGCATTGCTGCCATCGTTTTCCCTGCTTTCCAGACAAACACAGGACGTGTGCGCGTCTAGACAGGGGTTTGCAGCCCGGTTAACCTCCTGCAGCTGATTGCAGGCTAATCCAAGGCTTGTCCTGCGGGCTGCCCGGCGCGGAGAGGCCTGGACCCGTGCTTCTGGATCTCCTCACATCAGTGGCTGTAGAGGAAAAGGATGGTCTTGAGGGTATCTGCGTCATGCCTAGCCAAAGGGAAATGTGTTGCAGAAGAATTGCATGCTGGTGCAGTTTGATGAGTGCTGGTTTATGTGGTTACAGCCGAGTTGCAGCTGTCACATCCACCAGGGCTGGGAAAAAGAAAATGTAAATGACAGGCAAGGATATGACTTATATTGTAACTTGGTTCTAAGGCAAAATTGCTGGAGTGTTTAGTAAGTCTGGGGAAACCTGAGCAAGAGCTCTCACTGCTCCTTGAGTCCGCCTGACATCAGGAGCATAGGGCTAGTTGGGGTCTGAGAACAGGGAGAACTAACGGTCTGGAAAGGGAGAGCGGGAGGCATTGGGAAGGAGAAGAAAGGGATGGTTGGGGCAGAGGATGGTTGGTCTACAGAAAGCCCTGGGGGAGAAGGGAAGGAGATTATCTGGCCTGAAAAACTGCAGAAAAAGTCCTGAGAGAGGAGATAGATGGATGGATGGTGTCCCGGGGCGAGGATGGTGGTATTCCTCAGTGGCTGGAGAGGAAGAGTGCACGCAGACTTGGGCTTGATCCAGAAATGAATGGGACGAGTGATGGTCAGGGAGGGAAAATGGAAGGAGAAATACATAGTGGAAAAAGGAGGATCAGTGGGACAGGAAAGAGGATGTGTGGTAAGGACACACAGTAGTCCAGAGCAGGAGATCTGATGTTGTTGAAATGGGCACATTGCATAGAAAAACTGGAAAGAATAAAGAAAAATTGGCAGACACCCCAGGAAGGAGACCCAAAAGTCAGCCTGAGTATGCGGAGATGGAGAGAGCTGGTGAACTATCCTCACCTTTCCAGCATAAGGCTGCTCCTTTGAGATGCCACTGGCGCACGTGTCTTGGTGCTTGCAAGCCAAATAATCGGGTTGCACATTTTTTCCTGCTTAACAACTGGGCAACCTGATAAAACCAATCTGCTCCTTTCAGCTGCTTGTATTGCTCATTGCAGGCTGTGCAGTCTGCAGCCTAGGCACAGGCAGCTCAGATCCTTCTGATACACCCTCCTGGGTCTTCATGGCAAGCCAGGAGAGCAGGTCACATGGGACGTGTGCCAACACACGTTAACTAGTGCACCAAAGCTGGGGGCTCAGAAGTACCCAGGGCTGTGCTGGGCAAGGCTATGAGCTGCGGGCATCTTCCCAAGGCAGCCATGGCTTGCTGCTGGTTCACAGTGCTGGTGGGAATTCAGTAGTGAGTAGGAAGAGGAGCACACGTAACAGATGTTCCAGCCCAGTTTTATTTTCTTTATCCATCAGTGATGCCTCTTGAGCTGCTAAAGTAGAAAATCACATAGTAATGAGGAAGAGAGTGACCAAATCTCACAAACTTTCTTCATTTCATAGGATCATAGGTTCATACTGTATTACTGGTGAATGAGAACATGAGATTGTTTCCAGCTGGCATTCCTCTGATGTGGCTGGAGGAAGACAGATAGACAAAAATACCCAGAAATCTGAGGATCACCTGTCTTTGTCTGGGGTTTCCATTGCCAGTTTATGCTTAGGAACTGTTTAAAGAGCAATGATGTTCCCTGAATATATGTGTTTGTGGCTCGGGCCCAGCTTGCACCTCGCAAGAGAAACCTAGTGCATGAAAGTCTCCCTGTTGGAAGGACAGGGGGCAGATCCCAGACGTGAGCTGGAGTCCCAGTAAAGTACCTTGGAAAAAGCAGATGTCACAAGGCCTGGAGGATGTGCTCTGCGTCCTTAGAGATGCTGTGGAGGTGACGCAGAGGGATGAGTACAGCCCGCTGCTTTGGCAGAGGTCTCCAGGGTGTCACGGTGCCCCTGGGGATAGGCTTTGGGGCGCTGCGCCTCGAGGAGACCAAAAGGCACATGTGCTCAGGGACGGGGCTCAGGCAGCTCAGACCTTGCATGGGTTCCCTTAGCGACCCTTTGGGGTCCCCCACATCTAAAGGAAGTCCTTCAGCCCTTTCCATCAGGAGGAAATGCTGACCCCCTGCATCAGGTGATGCGAGAGGATTCGCTGTGAATTTCTTCACCTGAGCCCCCTGCCAAAGGTCGGGATGAGCTGGGATTAGCGTTTTAAAGCAAGCATGTGAAGCTAATTTTAGAAGCAAAACTTTGGTGGAAAACCTCACCTACTGCCCAGTTAGATCAGCCTGGCCTAGATTTTTGTCATAAAAATCTCAAAAATTCAAAAGATTAGATTTACTTTTTAACCAGAGGCCTGTTCAAAGATCACCATTTTCTATATTGGCATCTGTGTAAGCATGCCGGATTCCTGTTACAGTTTAACAGGGGGCCCTTGGGGCAGATAGAGTCCTTCAGATATGTCTGCCTATGTTCAGCGCCGTCACATGTGCCATCTTGCGTCTGCCAGTGTTTTCAAAGCTCCCGCAAGCATCGGGAAAGGCAAGCTCAGCTCTGTGCGGGGAGCACAGGTGCTACCAGCTGGAGTGTCACCCTTCAGTATGGAAGATGAGAGCCCAGATTGGAGCATTTTCTGCCAATGAACGTAACTACAAGACAGCAATTCTAGATTAAATGATTAATTGCATGCTTTAGCTCTAGAGCTGCTTATTTTTATCTTTTTTTAAATCTTTTTTTTTTTTCATTGAGGACCCCTTTCGGTTGTCCTCTGCACAGGACTGAATTTGTCACGCCCACTGCTCAGGAGCAGATTACTGCTGGGAGAGAGGGGGCAACAGGGGTCTGGATC